GGGTGTTTGGTGGAGGAAAAGAGCGGGATGGCAATGGTGGGATGGCTGTACGATCGATAACTAAGAGAGGGGGGGGGAGGATGAAAGACGGCCAACATACGTTCGTCTTAATCTGTAATTATCTGATTTACTCAGAGAAAGGAGGGAGAGAGGGATTGGGGGTCGAGGGCAGCAGGATCAGTTAGTACGTAGCGTGGTATTTATAAAGCCCTATCACGAACAGCGAAGACGGTGAAGCAGATGTTGGAGGAGGAACCATGAGACCGGAGGCCGTATTTAGAAGAAGAATAATCATGGCTAGTCTGGAGAAAGAAAAGCTTGGATCATTGCCACTTTGCCGAGTGCGCGTTTTCCACAGTCCCCCAAAGATGACGGAACGTTCTTTTGATTCCCGCCCCAAACCCAGTCGGGCGAATTGGCCCCGATGGGCCTGAGGGTTACTTTTTTTTTTCTGTTCTACATTCTGAGCTGGTCTACGTGATGTTCTACAGAGTACACAGTCCCGACGAGAGGTGGTAAGCCGTGTGGTGGGTGTTGTTGTGGTCCAAGAGCGTGAACTGACCGTCTCCGCGTCTTCCTGACCTCCAGGGCCGACAATCAAATCCCACACCGTCATGACACCCACGATCTGCACGAGAGAAGAGGGTCTGCCTGGTCTAGTTGAGTCAGTGCCTTGACCCCAAACTCGCCTCGAGTCAACCAAATAATGCCACCACCGAGTACCTCCCCCCCTCCCTTTAGCCTAGCGGTGGTGAGGACGACGGTGCTCCGACGACGGAGGAAGGGGACCACACGCTGGGAGCTGGCGAATCACAGACAATACAGGCAGAGAAAAGCAACGAGAAGGCAGAGAGGGAGGTCATCTGCTGTGACCACTGACGACCGATTGTCTCCCGTTCGGGCGGAGATAGCGTACTACATACAGGTAGTTATACAGGTAGGTAAGGTAGGTATTGTCAGGACACGGCACCTCAGGTTCCGAACCGTTGTTTTCCAGCTGGGCACCAGGAGTGGGGAAATGTGTGTTTTTCTGAATTCGAGTCCTCACTAGCTGTTCTCAGAGTCGAGATTCAACCCAAGCCCGCCACTACCACAGTAATCATACTAAGCAGGCTAATCTTGTGGGTTGGGGGCCACAATGCGATCATCCACGGACGTTCAATCAGGTTTGGTGGTGGAATGCAGCTCCTTGTCCCTGACAGGAGCAGAGGGAGGAGCTGGAACGGTGCCGTGACGGGTACGTTATGGAGTACTCCGTAGTTACTCCATCCCCAGAATCAGGAAGAGGTTGGAGCTACGGAGGGGGGAGACGGTGCTGATCAGTTAATTCAGGAGTCAGGACTCGACTCCTCCAGAGCAAAGGGAGGCTTGTCAGTGAAGTCAGAGGCTGTCCCGGCGTCCGCCCTCCCCTGCCCGGTGCCCACTGCCCAGAAGACGCTCTTTTTTTGGCCCCCACACACTGACCAGACCCTGCCACGTCGACCGAGGGGTTGGTTGGGGCGGATACTTCGGCCTGCGCGGCGACAGGGGCGCTAGAAGAGAAATAATCAAGCTTCGCTGTGATTTGCTGGTTTGTTCACTCCTCCTGATCTTAGTCGAAGCTTGGGGCGAGGCCCAGCCGTTTGACTCTCGGCGCACCCGGCGATAATTTCCCGAAGCATCATCGCGAGGTTACGCTTCCATTGCTAGACCCGCTGGTTGGCAGCCTCCGTCTGAACCAGAAGGGGAGGGGGGGTGTCTTGGGTGAAGAGATATACCCGACACAATGGCAAGACCTCTTACTCGCCGATCCGCCGTTGTCGTTGGACCCCAACCACCACCGGAAGGAATCAGAGTTCTCTTCGAGGAATGCACATGCCACCCGGACGCCTGTCGGGGCTGCCGTTACCCGTGCTACTTTACTTTGGCGGTACATATACGGAGTTCGGGAAAACGAGCGGGTACCAATCAGACACCTCGTTTCACCATCGCCGTCAAAATTACCAGTGGGGCGATTTCACTGCTGTCCAGACCAATTTCCACCGGAATTACCTGATGGAGACGGGGGTGTGGGAAAACTACCCAACGAGAAAGTCCGACAGCCACTAGGTACTGGCTCCGGGGCCCCGGCGATATTACCAAGGCTTCGACGGTTCGGGTGCAGGCTCAGATGGGAACCTGGTAAGGGGCGGCACAATCAAATGACAGCTGATTCATGAAAGTTTATCGATCCTCGGAACCCTCCGGGGAATTTGACACACATTCCATGAAGTGAACTAGTTATTATTCCATGACTAGGTAAACTACTCCATGGGAGTTAAGTACTAACAACTAGCTAGTCAATCGTCACCACCCACCCAGACTCTCGGATTCCAGGTGGATGCCCACATGGCACCCAAGCAAAGGGGGGGCCTTTCACTTGATTATTTCTCCTACGCCTCCGCGCTCCAGAGAGGTGTATACTCCGTATACTCCGTATGTGATATCAAGGATTATTCCCCGTTCTTCACTCCCTGCCGGCAGCGTACGGAGAGCACTACTACATACGTCTCCCACAGCGTACTCTCGTATACTCCGTACTCGGTAACGAATCAACCAGTGGAACCTGTATTCTTTACCAGCATGGTCCCCTGGCCAGTGAGACTCTGCCATCCCCGTGTGGCTGACAGTCAATGTGGTCGACTAAAGGTTCCAGGACCCAATTGCCTTGTATGCCCGGATATCATCGGCCCCAATCGGATCAGGGAGAATTGGCCATTAAACAACCTATGGTAAGTTTAGCCCCCTCGGCCTCTCTTAACCGTTTCAGTTTTAAGTTGTCTGATAAGCTCCTATTATTACTAATCTACTCGCTAGTAAACTACATAATTGGGAAGCGACGGGTACCTGCTACCGCTTACCGCACCAATACCTGCTCGTTACTTACGGAATCACTAACCTTCAGTGCACAAAGGTTGGAACTATGCCCAGGTACGAGGCTACCACCACAATTCGCCTCCTCATAGGTGAAATTATCCAGGACGGAATCACACATCCAAGTCAATCGGGTGTTTTTCCGTTCTCTCACACGCTTAAACTGAGTTCAAGGCTGACGTGTAAATCAGTATAGTCTTGCACTTTTAAGTTTTCCCCAGAAGGTGCCTACGGAGGTATGTAGCACTCCGTTCTCCGTACAGCTTACCTTCTGAAGCCCATACTATAGTCTAGTGATAGACTAAGCACTAGGTAACTAGCCCCTACCTCGGTGGTTACCTAGTATCTACCTAGGTACCTACCTATTGGCAGTCAAGTTAATTCAGTGCTCAGGTATACTACACAGTACTGCTCCAGGATAGCAACTGGTTGTTATGAACAGCTACTCCCCAAAGTACTAGACACTTGGAGTATAGCTGGATATGATCACCACCAGGATAGCCACGTGGGGGGTGGGGATTATGAGTTGATCCTGGTGGACAGCGTAAAGTGCTCCTTCATATCTATGTAGTATTCCGTATGTAACTACTGACTAACTAACTAGTTATGTAGTAGAGTGAATAACTCTACTCCATATGACTAGTAGTACCACCATTTACGCTCTGGAAACAGTCTAGCAGGCTTCTTTCGCATTACATGGAATGTTCTACGACATACCCATGATACTAAACTAGTTGACTAGCTAGCTAGTAGTTAACTAATTTACTTGCTCATGTAGTATGACTGAAGGTGCAGCCTTTCCGGTAGATATTGCTCCGTTCGGGATAAATGGAACCCTGATACCACGATGGAGTGTAGTTATTGACTTGCGCAAAGTAGAGTTGCATTAGGTGGGTTGTTCATTTTTCAAACAGCAATAAGTTATCAATGAAGGCTGAATGCACGCCTAAAGCTCTAGGTACTCGACTAACATATGCAGAGAAAAGGCCTCGAAAGCCGTATCGGATACGAGATGCCGAGAAATTCATCTCCGACGGCTATTGCTCATTGAGCAGGTTGTTGACAAGGTTAACAGGCACGAATCCCCTACCTAGACTGGAAATCAGCTTGGCTATTGCTAGCCTGAGTGGAATGCAGAAGCTCCGCTGTCTGGGATTCCTTTGTATACGGTAGAAGCAGCCCATTTCATCTCGGTTGGACATCGATGTGTGTTCTAGCTCTAGCTCGGAACCTGGGGCCAGCACCAGCTTCGATATATCAGCTGCTAACAGCGTATTGGATGCGGAAACTAGCGGCCTGCTGTGTAGAAAGCTGTTGCGCAGAGAGCAGTGACCAGGTTCCAGAGGAAGACTTACGCCGAAGCCAGACCTTGTCGGCCTTATCAGGGTACTGACGCAAATTGAGAGCCGCTTCCCATATCCTGTTGTAGGCAGGCAGGATGCCAACACGAGCGTGACGAGGTCGAGATGTACAGGTCTCCTCAGATCAGGAGGCTGTTTGCCAGGTCACCATTAGTATTCTTGCCAAAAAAGCGGCATCATCTGCAGGAATCACCGCTTCGCCCATTCAAATTTCAGATGCTGAGATAGTAAGTTGGGTTTGAAACTTTTATAAATGATTCTCAGGTGAGAAGTGACTCAGACAGCTGAAAATTGTCATACAGCGTCGTGTTGATAATATTCCTCTGTTGTTGACCCGATGACGATCTCCCGTGGGCAGCAGCGCGTCAGACTCAGACCGCTTCGGGCTCCCGTGACAGATCCCGTGACCATCTCAAACGACTTCCCCTCAGCTTCAACCCCTCCTCACGACAAGCACGTCTACGCTCATCACCGACCTGTTTAGTTAGACCAACGGGTGTTCAAACGATCTGAATCTCAACCAAGACTCTTCGGGTTTCATTCACCGGCCAAAGCCACCGCGTTTCTCCTTCTACGGCGGATTCCGGATCCTCAGAGCATCACGAGCCAGAAGCCTCAGCACGGATTTCACCTCCTAGGGCCTGACAGCTGCTAGAAAGCACCCTTGCAGAAGAGGCATTATATTGTTATTGAGAGAAAGACATCAGTATGGCTTCCTTCGTCGAGGATCTGTGGAACAGCGTCTTCACTCCGGGGCCCACCCCAACGCTGCTTGTCGCAACCAACGTCACCTTTGCAGCCCTGCAGTCGGTGCTCTTCATCCTCCTCCTGGCGACCTACAGCATACATTTCATCGTCTTGTCATTCCTCTCGGGAGCTTTGTGGTGGTCGATCAACTGGTTTGCGCGGGAGGTGCGCGAGGCCCAGGCCGCGCAGGCGAGCATGGAGAACCAGGCAGAGAACGTACGAGGGGCCATAGACAGCGCAGATAGCGAGACAGAAACTGAGACCGCCCAACCGCCACCGGATATCAAGGCCCCTGCTGCCTCAACGAGCCTGCTGACGCCTTCCGGATCAGCGACCGTCCGCCAGAGGCCCAGCGCCGGTGGTGACAGCTCGGAACACGGGGGCACGGACAGCGAATGGGAAAAGGTCGAGGACAAACCATGATAAGCTCTGTCACGACCAGCTACCCCGACCTCTACACTCGCGTCCTCTCTTTCTATGACAAGGAGACCCAACTGGGGAAGAGCGCATGTTGCCATATACTATGATCTGTGATGACGCTTGCCACGATACCCGATAGATCCTTCAAATACCCAGGCAGAATGTAAATAGTCGTTGCGCGAAGGGCATCATATTCACATCATTCGTAGGTTTAGATAGTATTTTCAAAGCACTGTGTACGGAGTATTGCTGCCGTCTGCCATTATTTGGCATAGTCCTCAATCCTCAAATGACAGCATCACGTGACTATATCTTATCGTCGATTTCCCCGTTCCAAGAAGTTGGGATGGAGAAACAAACAAGCTCCTGGGCGAAGGGGAAACAATGCAAACTGGCGGCGATCCGCCTTCAAGACAAGATCTTTCGCATCTGAAGGAAGATCAGTGCAGCCTGGCCTTTTCCAGAACAATGCACTTGCATTGAAGGAAGCCCGCCATGATCCAGACCGTCCCGATCCCCGCGAGCCGCAGACGCGTCTTCGATTCAGTCTTCTCGCCTGCATCGCTGGATGACTTCTCTCCGACCCCCGTCGCGACTCCGGCCCTAGACTACACTGCTGTCGGGCAACCGTTTGGAGGCGGCATCCAGACGTATGATCGAACGTCACTTCCACGCCCTTCCACCGCCTCCTCGTTTCTGTCGAACGATACGGTCCCGCTGGCCGATGAGGTGGACAAGACGACCTGGGATCATGCATGGCAGGTGGCCACGGCATTTCTAGTACTACCAGATGCCAAGCTCTCATATCTAGAAGTGTGTGGCGAGGTTGATCAAGAAAGATTCTTCAAGCAGTGGAACAGACATGACCCTCCTTCGAAAGAGACGACTGAAGCGCTAGCATATCTCCTGGGAGCGTCCTCCGCGGGTAGACAGAGCTCTGGAATCACATTCGAACGCCCAGATTTGCTAGAATGGTATGGCAATGAGACGCGACGACATTTCCTCAAGAATTTCCGGGAAGGACTGCTTCTGGTATTACTACCCTTATACCCCTTCCCTTTGATGAGTCGTGTCTGATGTGCTTTGCTTTTAGCTCTTGCGTGCCACCGAGATCGGCGATGCTCTACAAAAAACGGTACAGTACCTACATCTGGCACGGACAATATACCTCGCCCCCGTGGTAGAGCATATCCTTCCACTGCTAGATACGAAGGCGCAGGAAAAGAGCTTTGGGGCATTTCAGGAGGGGTTCCATGCTGTTGTAGCGTACTCGCTCCCATGGAATACACTCTCGCCATTACTCGCGCAAGAAGTCACAAAGGAAGCCTTCATCATTCTAGGGATCGACACTCTGGCTACTACGGATGACGACGAAAACGATATGGAGGTGGACCGACAGTGCACAATATCTTACCTGGAATGGCGAGAGGAGCCATCTGACGAAGTGAGGATGCATATGATGGCGGAGAATGATGACGCACAAGTCACTGCTGCCCGCGACCGGTTACTGTCCTTGTTTAATGGACTGCAGCTTGTGGGACTGGGCGGCGACCGGGCGCAAAAGGTCTTTGCCAGCGTAATGGATGCTCTGTTGACCGAATTCACCCGAGAGGCATACACTGGTCAGTGGGAGGGCCCCAGCTTGGTCGTTCACCATCTTCGCCAATGGATCGAGAATGTTTTTGCCCGCTTGGTGGTGCAAGTGCTGGCTATCATCCACCCGCCCGAGCAGGGATCCCAGGCCTCGGACAGATTATCCATCAGCTTAAGCACGGTGGAGAGATGGCAGGAATCAGGGATTGCTCGCCTGGGTGCACTTCGCACGGGTGAGTTATTTGACGTGATCGTCGACTGGCCAGCCAGTAGCGGCGCGATCGAGGATCTGCGGCACTTCACCACGCACCCTGCTGCAAGGCTATATGTGACGCAGACATTCATCACAGCGCTCAACCAACGGTTGCTCCACCCTGGCGCATCGACAGTGGAGATCTTGCAGGTGTATATCTCCATTATTCGGGGCTTCACCCTCCTCGATCCGAAAGGTGTGCTATTGGACCGTATTGCTCGCCCGATCCGACGGTATCTGCGCGACCGGGATGATACAATCAAGGCGATTGTTGGTGGTCTGTTGGCCGATCCGGACGAAGCAGATGAGCAAGTACAGCCAGCAGCAGGTTCCTCGGCCGACGAGACGCTGGTTGAGTTGTCCGCTGAGCTGGCCAAGGCACACCGATCCTCGCTACAGCGTGCCGACTCAGGCGAGCTCGATTGGGACGATATGAACTGGATGCCGGACCCTGTCGACGCGGCGCCGGATTATCGCAAGTCGAAGAGCTCTGATGTCATCGGGAGCTTGATCAGTCTCTTCGAGTCCAAGGAGGCGTTTGTCAAGGAGATGCAGCAGATGCTTGCCGACCGCTTGCTCCGAAAACGCGGGGACTTTGAACAGGAGCTCTCTGTGGTGGAGTTTCTCAAGGTCCGCTTCGGTGATTCCGCCCTGCAAGCTTGCGAGGTCATGCTGCGTGACATCTTCGACTCGAAACGGGTCGACGCCTCGGTGCGCAACGACCAGAGGCTCGCCCAGGAACCCGACCCGGGGGTGGATCAACCGGAGCTGCACGCAAAAATCCTCTCGCGCTTCTTCTGGCCAGAACTCCAGCCGCTGGAGTTTAAGGTTCCCGAACCTGTCGCCGTGCAGCAGCAGCAGTACGCCGAGGGGTTCGAGTCGCTTAAGCAGTCTCGCAAGCTCACCTGGCACAACGGGCTGGGGCAGGTCACTGTGGAGCTGGATCTGGAGGACCGCGTGTTTGTCGACCAGGTCACCACCTGGCAGGCGACCGTCATCTATGCTTTCCAGTCGTCATCCTCCGCGCTGGCAGTTGAGGATCTTTCGCAGGAACTCGCCATGTCGGCCGCGCTGGTCCGCAGCGCGTGTCTCTTCTGGGTCAGCAAGCGGATCCTGACCGAGGTGCAACGCGACCACTTCTGCGTGCTGGAAGTGTTACCGTCCGAGACGGATGAGAATGCTGCTACGGGTGGTAGCCACCCGGTCGATGCCGGACAGGACAGCGAGGAAGCAGATCGCTCAGCGGCGACAGCCAACGCGGCGGCAGCAGCGGATGCAGCGGCCGCCGCCGCTGCAAAGGAGACGGCAGACGCGGCTGCGATGGAGAAGATGAATCTGTACTGGCAGTTTATCATGGGGATGTTGACGAACCAAGGGGCGATGCCGCTGCAGCGGATCGTCATGATGCTGAAGATTGCCGTGCCGGGCGGGTTCCCCTTCAGCAATGAAGAGCTGCGCGAGTTCCTGGCTGGCATGGTGAACAAGGGCAAGCTGGAGATTGTCAGTGGGGGGAATTATAAGATCATCCGGGATGCTTAGTCTATCGGCAGATACTTCTCACTGCCAGCTATTTCCTTGGTTGTTTAGGTGGTTAACGGGTAGTTAGTTACAAAATCAATTCTCTTATCACTACCAATCTGCATCTCTCCTTCACTCCGACGATCTACACCCACAGGCAAAAAGATCATCCTATCCTCCAGTGAAATGAATGCTTCCTCTCTCGTGTTTCTCCTCACAACGGACAAGGATCCCCAAATTGCAGCCCATCAGCGCCGACCCCGTGGCCGACACCTCGTCATCCACGACAACGTCGCAGAGTCTGTAGTTGAAGTTGCAACCAGGTCATGCCAGGTCCTGTGATCCAAGATTGAATTCAAGTAAGTATAAGTAGGCTGGTGTAGTCGGGTTGGATTCATACTTGGACAGATTTCCATCCAGCGCGCTCAACAAGACTATTCAATTAACTACTTACCGGGTCAACACCAACCTCAGGCTAGTTTACTCTTTTTAATTCATTTCTTATTACAGCACTAATATATAGTATAGATATTCAAGATGACTCCTTGCACCTGCAACACCTGCTCCTGCACTAACAATGAGTGCAAAGGCTGCAAGTGTGATGCCTGTGGTGTAAGTCTCTATTCTAGTCATTATTTACCAATATCAACTGACATATCTTTTAGCACTGATTCATAGATATATCAGGAATAATTATGTCTGTTACTTTGATGGCACAGAGCTGAACAATGATACCAGTAAACTGAACCAGTTTTCTCTTTTTGTAGCTAGTAGTTCAAGACAAGTAGATAAATGTAGGGCTGACTTTACTCCGCATCCAAAGGCGCCACAGGTGCCTGATCATCCACTTGGATCCCGCCACGCTTCTTCTCGTTGCTGTCCCAGAAGGGCAGCTTCCAGCCGCCCTCGCTCTCCGGGGTCGCGAGCCACAGGCGCATCAGATGACGGCGGGGCGCCGGAGGCGCATAGTCCCTATACGCGGTGCGGGCGTGCAGGATGTGCGAGTTGGCCAGGAATTGGATGTCGCCGACCTCGAGAATCATATGCAGTGCCAGTCGGTTGCATGTCGCTTCCAGCACTTGGATGGCTTCCTGCTGCGCCGGTGACAGCGGCGGGATGATCCCCGCGTCCGAGAAACGAGTCAACGAGCGCACATAGTACGGATCCCACCTAAAGCATACCGATCAGTATTAATCAAAGCTACTAGTATTCTGGTCACTTACTTGGAGTAGACGCGGCCGTTCTCTCCCCGCTCGAGATAGAACACGCTGGTGCGGATGTATTCTTCCTGGCCCTTGCTGGTCTCGCCCTTGCGGTCAAAGTACCAGATAGGCTCCGTGAGCGTGCGAAGCACGTCTGGCCGCTCCTTCTGCAGAGTGTTGTAGACGTGGTGCGAGGAGACGATATCAGATTCCCCGCCTTCGAGGGCCCGAGCGATGCACAACAGCCCGACAATATCCGAGTCATCAGCGTGGAAGAATTGGCTAGCACCCGAGTATTAGCTGAATTCACTACTATAAAACGAAAGAAAGGAACACACCGAGCGTTTGTCCTGTAGATCCGGACCTTGTCAATCTGGGTTGAATCCTCGCCCAGGTCCTTGACATGGCCTAATACATGACCCCGGCTGTTCTGGCTGACAAAGTAGCCTAGGTACGTCCCCAAACCCATGTACGCAACAGCAGACTTGTGGTTTCCCCATTTCTGGACCTGGAATCCCTTGAAGAGAATAAACCCTCTTCCGTCAATGATCTCCTTTTTCAACTCCTGAAGATAGCTGGCTAGCTTGGGGAGAGGGAAGTTGCTCTGTAGACAAGTCGATTAGCATCATGATATGAACGGGACTACTGGTAGTCTGCTCTCACCTTGGAGATACCCGTCAATGGAATCTTGGCTGCCAGGAATGCATCGGCAGCATTACTGAGCTCTTCGATCTGCTCTTCAGTGAAGACATGGACCCATTTCTCTGGGGTTTCGCGGTAGTCTTCCGCCTTCCAAACAGTAGGGCCAGAGATCTCCTTGGGGAAGGTATCAAAAGGCTGGATATGATCATAAAGAGGAGGGTGTTGGCCGGTCGTCTTGAGGCCGTCAGGGAAGATGTCAATGGGAACTTGGCTGTTTAGTTGGTGGGCAGCAGTTGGAAGGGAGTCTGTGAGAGCTGGAGCCATAGTGATCTAGTGAAAACTGCACGAGGATAAAGAGCCAGCTAATAAATACCTCAATAGGGATCCTTTGATGTCGATTGTAAAGGACTATCAGATCAAATGAGGGGTTGTCTAGTATTTAAGGCTGAAGGCACCCCGGTGTACAAGGATCTAACAAGCCTCTCCCTCTTAAGAACCAGGATCGACCAACGAGATGCAGTCTCTCACTGAAAAGACCTCTAGGGACGGGAAATACTAGCAACAACCTCGGGTAAGTCCTTTATTCGAAGGCGTGATTGCCCCGATAGTTTGAGTAATCGTCGAGATGGCGCAATCGCTGGGGAAGAATGTTGTGATCGCCTTTGAAACACAATAGTTGACGATCAGAGTGATGGCAAGCCATTTTAAACTGCAATTATAAAGCCTCCTTAAAACAGAGACAGCTTTGTTGACTCGATGGGTTGAGAAGAAGTGAAAGGGAGAGAAGAGGAGGTTGTCAAGACTCAAGAGTCACATGAGAGCAGCAGGCAAACAGACCAAAACCTTCACCGAAAACCGCCAAACGCTCTTCCAGAAAACACTTTGGACTCATTCGCCCCGACGACGATGTTTTATTGGAAATAGACTCGTCAATGGCGGTGGTTCTGCTCAACGGCAGACGACTTCTTATCGACTTTTCTGCCCGATTAGGCAAACCGATCCTCTCATGCGGGGTTCTCACGGCGAGATGCTTTTATTCAAGAACCAATCCTGGGGGCTGTTTCGAACATAAAAAGAAGGTGACTTCCTAGGAAAACTATACAATGATAACTCGCAGAATCCATATCGCAGTGCTGGACGTTGACGTCCCCGTTCCGAATGTGTACGCTGCCCAAGGGCTCTACAGCTCGCAGTTCAGGGTTTTACTCCAGGCGGCGGTAGCAAGATTGAACAAGGCAAGCAAGCTCGCGACAGGCCCAATTGCCATCCACACGACGGCCTACGACGCTGTTGGTGGCGCTCTTCCACCTTTGCAGGGTCTCCGCAGCCAGCCTCGAGGCCAGGGTACCGCGGACCCAGAAAATTTCCGATGCGGACCTTTGGGGGCTATCGATGCGGTTCTCATCACCGGATCCTCAGCCTCTGTCTACGCTTTCGACAAATACCCCTGGATCCGGCCCCTGCAGACGTTCATTCAGACCGTGTACGCTGAGTTCCCTCACGTCAAGCTGTTCGGGTCCTGTTTCGGACACCAGCTCATCGCCCAGGCGCTTTTGTCGCTGCATAACCCGCTCGTCCAGCCTCATGAAGCGTTCAAGGTCGAAGCCTGTCCCCTGGGTGCCGAGGTGGGCATTCAGCCCATCAAACTGCACTCGAGCTTTGTAACAAGGTTCCCCTGTCTGGAGACTGCTGCTGCTAGTAGTGTGTCCAGTGATTCCGAGCGGGATTTTTGCATCCAACTCATTCATTTGGACCGCGTCGTGCCCGAAAAGGCAGGGGTATTGCAAGATGTCAGGTCATCGGACCTCTGCATGCCTTCCTCGGATGAGACTAATGCCAGTATGACCCTGCCGAGCGGGTGGATCAGCATCGGCGGCAGCGCGAAATGTCCGATCCAGGGACTCTACAACCCCCGCCGCGTGCTGACATACCAGGGTCACTTCGAGTTCGACAGTTTCGTCACCCGCGAGACCTGTGTGGAGTTTGCGCGACGGCTGAACTGGCCTGCTGCAGATGTACAGGACTACTTGGCATGTATTGATCGAGCCTGTGTGCCGGGCAGTGAGGACGCTGACGACTCGAAGCTTGCTGCCGAGGTGGTCGTGCTGTTCTTTGCCGGGGAGGATGCTGGTAGCCAGGAGATCCTCATGCCAATGGAGACTGGCATACTCACCCCTCCTCTAGAAATACAATAAGTGCCTTCTATATTCCATAATGATATTACTATTACTATTCCTTGTTCCTACTAATTAGCCAAGACTCGAGAGGCAGTTAGTAGTACTTAACGCTTATCCTTTTGAGGAAAGCCAGGCGAGAGACCTCAAGCAGTGTCTATCAACCAGTTCTCTGGATAGAATGCAAAATATATAGCCAAAAGACAGATTCTATTATACAACTATCATCTAGAGTTCTATAAGAATGATAAGACACCCCTAATCAATACTGTCTCTTCTACATATACTTTATAGAATAATACTCTTATCAAACGTGTAGGGCTGAACACAGCCAGCCACCAATACACCATATCTTTCGTGGCGCTGCTAATGCCAGAATCTTACACTTGGCAGATTGAAGATTACTCTCCGAGTTAAGAGATGATTCTCGTCCTAGAGTAGGGGTTAAATCGCCTCGTATGATCCACTGCTTGGAATATAAAAGGGACAGATCCGTCTCTTCAGTTGCGTACCACTCAACCATTCATTAGACTTTCATCATCTACTGACACTCAATCACTTTTGAAGAACTCTCACCATGAGGTCTACTCTCCTCCTCTTTGCTCTCGGTCTTGCCGTGAACCAAGCAGCAGCCTGTGAAACCCCAGGCACCTACTGCTCCTCCTGGGGAGATATGGCATGCGAATGTAACGAAGGGTACCTGGTACGACCATGAAAATCCCATCCCCTGCTAGATCTATCTCTGAACTTGACTAGTTGGAATGTGCCCCCGCGCTTGTGTCCGAGATTGACGGCGAGGGAGGCGAGACTGAAGTCCTGTGGGCCAGAGTCGAGAACTGCCCTGTCCCTGCGGATGGGGGGCTGCAGTGCGTGGACGGGGCTTGTACGTCTTAGATATTGATAAAGTTAAATGGCTGAATTGAATTACTTCTGTCACTTCCAATTGACTCGTGATTATTCTGGATACAGCTAGAAGGTTGTAGGTAAATGAGAATTAAGACCCTGAAAAACACCTTGACCAAGCGCCCTCACCCATATCAACTTATACAGTCCGGATTGCCTCTCTGGACGTATCACCAATAGCATCACCCAGGAGCCATTGTGCAAAGGTCTTGAACCCAGCTTCGTTCAGTAATTTAAAATCGTAGGATTTGGTGTAGCGTATCACCAGCTCCTGGCCATCAAAGTATGCCTCGATGACACGCGGACGCAGTAGATTCAGAGAAAAGAGTAGAACCTGATATCGTAATCAGCTTTTTGGTTTCTTGTTTGATGAGTGTGGTTATAAGGAAATTAGGATTACCGGCGCAACCATATCATTGACAAACACCCTCTGCTTGAGTTGACCCAACATAATCAGCATGACGGTCAATACCTCCCCGCAAAGTAGATGATTATCATCCACATAGATCTCATTGTACATGACGCATTTAATATGCGGCTTGGCGGCCTTGGGATCATGAAGTATCCAGAATGTGCCAAATTGAGGCTCAGACATCCGGTATAGCCGATTACTACCGAAGTTGTAATCACCGACCCTGGCGAAGCGACTAGTGAGTAAAGGAATGTTTGAATAAGGAGTATTATTGTAGGTACTGGGGGCTTACTGATGGCTTGTCCACTTTTGTCGGATCTCTGGGAAGTCGACCATCAAGCTGCCAACGTATGATTTAAGGTAATGGTAAACGACTCGCGCGGGTTCGGTTATCAGGGTTAGACGGCTGGTGTCGTATTCTCTCTCGACATATTCTGGTGTTGGCTCTGGCATGTCTTTGACGGCGAAAGAAGCGAAAAACTTTGGTGCCAGCGAGTCATCTGCGTCAAGGCTCAGAGGTAGAGCCCGAATTTTGTAGCATTCTAGCATGCTTTGGTCCAATATATGGACATCCTTCTTTTCCAGGGCTCTGAGGTCTCTTTCCATGATGGTGAGTGTTTTGCGGAGATTGTACCGATCGTGAGGCTCAACGACGGTCTCCATGGCCATGGTTTATGTAGAAATGACAATCAAAAGAAAACGAATCCTATAATCACGACTTTCCACTTTGAATGAGATGAGGAGAAGAGCTGTAGTCTTAAATGCTCGCGGTAGCAGGAAGGGGTGTGGTTGAAGGTAGGATGAAGGGCAGGTTGGGAGAGTTAAATATGGAAGCAGCTCCCACTTGATTCAGAGCCAATCAGACGTCGATCCTTGGTGCCGTTGTATTTACTCTCTTTCTCTGGGACTTTTATTGGCCACAAAGCATTGAATTCACTGCGTCTCCTCAAATACTTATGGGAATAAAGAGGTATTTTTAGATGTCTTATCTCTTACTAGTGGTCAAGTCGGCGCTAATTCTATTCACCATGCCTGCCTGAGGCATCCGACCCTGTCGCAATTACCTCGCCGTCGCCCTCACAGAGACTTTATATCAGCGCTTAACTGTCTACCTACCTTTACCTATTGGCTAAGCTGTTCTAAATATATTACTTACACGCTATATCGCTACGTATAGCTTATGAGAAGAGAATCGATCAAGTAAGAGCGGCTAACGATAGCTGCCTCTGAGCATAAAAGGCTCTATTTTCTCCGGAACCAGACTCGGAATTATCCATGACTTACTTGTTATTTCTTTCCTCCACGATCTTCTTTGCTGTCCAATGATGTCCACCATACTTGACTCATCCACGCCCGTCCCGGACACGCTCGAGGAGTGGCAGGCGCAAGTCGACCTGTTGGGTCTCAGCACCAAAACCATCCACGATATCCAGTTGAAGTCCGCCTCTCGTGTCTCCAGGGAACAATTTCTACTGCTCCGAGTGCTTTGGGAAGACGGTGACTCCTCTAAATTTCTGCAGTTCTTCGACTTGAGCCAATGGCTGCCAGCTGCCAAAGAGAAGTTGGGAAACCTTTCGTCATGGAGGAGATACTGCCAAAGTTTCACGAGCCCGATCCCTGAAGGGACATTTGCTGCAGCTCGTCATTATCAACTGGAAGCTTCCAAAACAGAACAGGTTGACTTTGGCGGCGGTGTTGTCTTCTCTCCCAAAGTTCACATGACTCGTTCAAGGACACAGCTTCAACCTCCGATCCGCCAACCAGACTTTACCTCCACAACTCCTCCAAGGCAACTTGACCAGGCTTTTGAGACCCCCGGCATCGATTACGAGCCAGGCTCAAGTCCTCTAGACCTCCCAATGTCGTCGCCTCCGTCTCACTGGAGCACTATCAGCCCCGATGACGAATTCATGTACCCCCCAACGAAAGATGAGCAGATCACCAATACCGCTCTTCTGGTCTTTCTTGATTCTATCACTCTCCATTTCAATCTTTCTGTGTCCTGGTCTCTACATCGCATCGCTTTGACGGCGGAATTCACCAATGCAAAATTCGAAGCAAGGACGGATGGCTACCTTGCAGATCGCAATGGGGATATCAAGGCTATCATCGAGGTCAAGCCGGTACTCAGGCAGATGAAGGAGCCTCAGATTCGCATACAAGAGAGCCACCAAATTGTCGCTGGCTTACTGACAGACTACAATTCATCCTTCCCTGCACGTCGGAATAAGCCGTAAGTGAACATTCCTACCCGAGATGTCTTATCCTCAACGCTGACTCGGTATGTGGAAGTCGTATTATTATATCACAAGATAGACATGAGATTTATATCTCGATTGCGGAGTACAACGCTGATTACATCAACTATCTCCAAACTGGGGATACCCGCAACAATCCTTTCCTGGTGGTGCATGAATTCGGTCCTTGGAACACGAACAACCCCGCTTCTATGGCTGAACTAGGTCCAATTCTTCTAGCGATTAGCCTCAAGGCTCAGCATTACTAGGTAGATGAGGGTGTTATTAAACCAAACATTTTACATTAGAACTAATGCTTAACTCATTCCACTATTTGCCTTGTTTCACGGCGTTGTGCCAGTCCAAGTATCCCAGTTTCATCGTCACCGGCGCTATTCAATAGTACTTCCTGTCTCTTCAGAGGTGGCTTTATAATATTGTCTCTAGAAGAACTATTTAGGGTTTAGCCAATTATTCGTTACTACTAACTAACTAGTAGGCGGCGGCGGTGGTGGTGGTGGTGGTGGTGGTGGTGGTGGTAGTAATTCGCCGTGCCATTTGATGATCGAAACCCTTCAAGGCATTATTGCGATCGAATATTAGTATCCATCGGAAAACCGGATGTGATAAAACTGCCTCGGCATGATGCCGGTGAATCAAAGCCACTCACCCCCACATTCTTTTGAGCGAATGGCGACCAGGTGAGACGAATCCCAAGTATGAAACGCATCCATAGTCGATGAAACATCCTGCGATGTGATATAAGCCCGTTTTTCTATATAACCAGCAGTCGAATGACGCTGAAGTAGTAGACATATTCGGACACATTATCGCGATGGGCAAGGAAACGCTGGAGCCGTTAAAGAAGCTGAAGCCCGTTCCAGCAGGCGAATGTGAGATGGTTGATATTGCCAAGGTTATTCGCTCAAAGAACTCGAGTCCCTCTGAACTGACACTGGACATCGTGTTCGACGAGCGGGAGGCTTATGAGCGTGTCAAAAATGCGGGGATTTTGACCAACGAACGGCTCATGAACCTTTACCATCTGAAGCCCGGCGACATCATCGTCAACATGTTCCTTGAGCCAGCCCTGGCGTGGAAGTGCACATTACGGCGACCCTGGGAACAAGGGACAGTGGGCGAGCGGGATACGATGGGCACCCAACAGCATGCACCGCTGCTGACGCTCAAAGTACCTGCTGCTTCATCGTCCTCTTCCTTGAAGCACAAGTTAGCCCCGGCGACGCCAGACCGCAGCGGTTTCTCCACTGCGGACTCAGTCCAATACATATGGGAAACGCTGGGACTTCCTTCGGCGTCGCTGCAATCTCTGCAGCTCCCTGATGCCGACAAGTTGGCATTGCCGTCATCGTTTAAGATTGGGCACTTGGCTCAAGCCTCAATCGGTCTGTCAGCCTTGCTAGCAGCACAGATTCACACACTGCGCCAGCAGAAGACGACCCGGCCCCCTTCCGTGACGGTACCTCTGCGCCATGCGGCGATCGAGTTCAAGTCGGAGCGGCTGTATACGCTCGACGGACAACCGCCACCGTCTTCATGGGGTTCTATCGGCGGCTTGCACAAGACATCTGACGGATACGTGCGTCTACATGACTCATTCCCCAACCACCGCAATGGGGCCAAGGCACTGCTGGGGTGCATATCTGAGGCCTCGCGGGCGGCCGTTGGGGAAGCGATTGCGCCCTGGCGCTCCGTGGACCTAGAGACGACAGCCTTTGATTCCAAATTAGTGATCTCCGCTTTGCGGAGTTATGAACAATGGGATAAGCTGCCGCAGGCGCGGGCAATTGCCGACTTGCCTATCCAGCTACGTAAGATCGGCGAGTCTCCCGTGAGTCTGCCCACAGGTCTACGCGGTGGCCCCGCCGACAAGTGCCTTCGAGGCCTCCGGGTGCTGGAACTTTCGCGAGTGATTGCTGCGCCCGTGGCAGGCAAGACACTGGCAAGCCACGGAGCCGACGTTCTGTGGGTGACAAGCCCGAGCCTACCGAATCAACCATCACTGGACAGGGAGTTTGGACGGGGGAAACGTACGATCCAGCTGGATCTGAACACGGATCCCGATATGGCAGAGTTGAATAGACTCCTAGACGGAGCGGACGTGTTTCTCCAAGGATTCCGGCCGGGCAGTCTCGCATCGCGAGGGCTGTCCCCAGAGGCACTGGCCAAGAAATTCTCCAGCCGTGGCATCATCTGCGCCAACATGTCAGCATATGGACCGAACGGACCGTGGTCACAGCGACGAGGATTCGACTCACTGGTGCAGACGTGCTCTGGTATGAACGTATCCGAGGCAGAACACTTCGGGGCAGGCGAGGCGGCGCGGCCAACCCCCTGCCAAGCACTTGACCATGCCGGTGGGTATTTTCTGGCAGCAGGAATCACGGCCGCACTCTACAAGCAGGCCACTGAGGGGGGATCCTGGCAGGTGGACGTATCGTTGGCCGGGGTGATGAAGTACCTGCGGTCGCTGGGACAGTATGAGGGGCGAAGCGGATTCGAGACAACGGACTATGAGTGTGTAAGGGATGTACCAAGCGAGAATCTCGAGACGCGGGAGACTGGATTTGGGGTTATGACTGCTGTACGACACTCGGCGTCGATCGAGGGGGTAGCTGTAGGGTGGGACATCATGCCCAAGCCGCTGGGGTCTGACGAGAAGGTGTGGCTGAGCTTAGGTACTAGTAGTATTTAGTATGCTTAGATTAGTTGAACAGTGAGTACCTATCTTATTGCACAAGTGAATAGATGTAGACTGATAATATACGACTGTGGTAAGGACAAATATTATAGGAGAAAGGGACAAGATGAGGTGAGATGGAAGTTGAAGATGGAGGAAGGAGCTGCACGTGATCTCCAGATTGGGAAGGAAGCACATGTTTATGCCTCAGGCTTCAACATTACATAAGCCAGCCAAATACCGCTCCGTAGCTCCGTGCGTAGACTCTCTCTGTACACCGGTAGAGCGCAATGTTAGGCGTCCAAAGTTATGTACTAGTAAGTATATGTAGTGTTCAGTACATATAAATATCGCATAGAGATTGGGTATTCCAGAATTACTACCCAATCTACGCCAAATAAGTGTCAAGAATCAGTAAGCGCTGTGTTCTCACTTATCTGATGCTCTATCAGAGTCATAATGTCACTCCACATGTCTGATAGGCCATACCATGCAATTGACTCGATTCTATTATTGAAAGAAATTTCCACCATTGGATCAATAACCTTAGGTAGGTAGGTAGGGAGTATCAGGTCGGTACTACGGAGTATAGAGGTAATTAGCCTAGGTAAGATTGGTACTGATGGCATCACGATCCGTCTATCCGACACAGAGGCAGGTCTCTTTTAGCATATACTACATAAGAGGTATATTTATATCTTATTGATATATATATATATATATATATAATATATATATTATTTATAATATACTACTATGATAATAGCAATATTCAGTCTAGGTCTACAGCTGTAGCTACCTGGTAGTATTGTGTATTGTAAGTACCAGTAATTAAGCTGGTAGCTAGTAGTACCTAGTAGTAAAGCTTGAGCTGGGGAAGCTGAAGAGGGGCA